TACCCTAACAAGGAAGCATTTTTTTTTAAAAAACTAAGTTCACTGGAGGAAAGGTTTGTTGGTTTGCTTTAACTGCAAGTGATACTGTGCAGTATCCATACTTACAACTAGCTTCATCATCGTTACCAGGTTTCTATTGCTTTTCTGGATCTGTTGTCTGTCTTGACTGGTTTGTGGTTATCAACAGCCCAAAATTTTTCTCAACTCATTACAAATCCCTAACTTCTTTGTTTGAAGGAACAAAGCATGCTGAGCTATTTCTTTTGTTTTCCTTCAAGGCCTAAATGATGTTTTATTCTCTGTATTTTCCATAACATAGCCATGCACTCAAACAATTTTGCAGAATAGCTGGAAGCATCCATTCCCACCTGTCACACATATCCTTGTTCTTCAGATTCTTCCTCTGCTACATTACTACTTATATAGCTGTTACACCAATAACTTGTGTAAAGCAAGCGCACACAAACACACAATTTGGATGTTTCACACCAAAGATGCAACATTTTGCCAGGAAATGGTTTCAACCTAAAACTCAAGGAGAAAATTGAAGGTTGTGGGTAAGTTAAAACGGAACAGAACCCCCGTGAATCTATGTGGGAGCTTTGGAAGTTTGTGTACTATGCACCACGCACAATTGGCAGCTCCAAATCATTCAGCATCAGAAACTAAACAGTTAAAGCATTTCACAAAAGTTAGATCTATTTGGACCACCTCACCTACCCTGAAAGCAAAAAAAAAACAGACAGACTCTACCCAAATCTCCATTCTTCATAGGAAAAACACGAGGTCTATTTGCTCCCTCTATTGACCAGAGCCACTACTGACCAAAAAGGGAATAAAAGAATGCCAATGTGCAAAGGAATAACATTTTCTAGAAACCAAAAGCATTCACTATTCATGCTTACATCCACGTAATATCAGAAGAAAACAAAATACGGCGCATTAAGGGATTCACAGAATAAATTTACATATTTTCAGAAAAATATTAACAAACTAACAAATCCAATATCTTTCTTCTTTTTCAACCTCCTTCTTTTTTCTTCTGTCTTCTACACACGCACACACACACACCTCATTCTCACATAAAGTTGATAAACTAAATAAACTAGGATGCCAAGGAATGTGAATCTCACCTTCTAAGTTAAAATACTTCAAAGGTGCACAACATTACTAATTCTAAAAAAAAAAAAAAAAAAAAAAAACCTTCTGCAAACAGCAAAGATACCTTCCACTTTACCTCCTCATATTTGCATATAAAACCATAAAATTGCCATAGCTGGCATCCCAAGCAGCAGCAGAGGATGGGAAAGTATTCATATCCCATTCTGTAGGAGGCTATCTATGAAGTGCAAGAAGCTAAGTTCCAATTCTCTAGACAAGTGCTCTACTCCCTTTACCTAACCTACCTAACCACATTCATATTCCTTTTTTCATGTCCTTAGACCTGACAACTTTCAAAGGTAACCAGGCGTATGGATGAAAAAGTCACCCTCAGAGCAATTAGTGGCAGAGCACCAGCTAACATGCACGTAGGACTTAGTTTGAGTCCCACCACCCAAACAAAAGCCTGAATCAATTCAGCACCAAGCCTAGATAGCTCAGCATCTAATTTACATAAAAAATAATATAAGGCTTGCTTTGGAAGGAGAAGTACTAAAAAGCATACAAAAGAACAAGTGGTCATAGCTATCTTTTTGATGCCTGCTTGGCCGTTGAATCCTTTGAGTGTTGTTGGTTCCCTAGCTAAATTGTGAACTCTCTGAGGGCAGAAGTTTCTTTCCTCCTAAACTTATCTGGAATCTCCAAGCTACCTACTACATAGCGGGGACACTGTGCCTTACAAAAATACTTAGTGATTTCATGAAATGGTGATCCATTTCTACATTGGTGGAGTAGAAGCAGCAAGGGGCAAGCACAGTAGTTCTGAGTCTACTTACTAGTCTAACTACTATGCCAAATGAGCCCTATTACCATAGAAATAATAAAGGGAGCGTATGTCATAAAAGGTAACACAGCAGAAGAATCTAATATAAAGTCACCTTTGGTCCCAATCTGAAGAGTAAGAATGTCACATATGTTTAGGAGATGAACATCGTCCAGAATTGAAATTGTATTATTTATCTGTTTCTCTTAAGCTGCCTAAAGGCAAAGATCAAGTGTTTTATCTTTGCATCACTAGCAAACAGCAGATACAGTATTTGACAAAGTCAAACCATGCAATAAAGCTAGTTGGTTGAGTTAATGAACAAACAATAATGGTTTCATGAAATAATATAAAAGATAATTTTAGTGTCATGACTTAAGAATCATCTATTTATTATGTTATAGCACTTATCACTCAGTACTATATTTGCTTAATAAGTGAATTGTTTCCTGAATGGATTAGTTAATTAATGAGGAAAGTGTAAAGGTAGGACATATATCAGAACATTATTATTCTAGGAATCTTACTGCACAATATAGCAGCATTTAATATCCCATATTGCAGACTATCTTTTTGCATGTTGACCTTGTTATAATGTGAATTCATTGCATTCATTGTTGGTTTGGTTTGGTTTGGTATGGTCTCTGGAACTACAGACCCTACAAGGAACCTTACAAGGAACACGCACTCAACAAATATCAATTGAATAAATGCACCAATCATTCCTGTTCTTCCTGTCAATGTTGAGTGGCTTCTTGTTTGAAAGAAAAGACGTGTCATTTTTCCCTATTCAAAGCTTCATGGTGGATACAGGTTAAATATCTTGGTGGATGTTTGGCTATGAGCCCTCCAGGACTACGTACTGGAAATACACATGTAACCTCAGTCTAACCCCACATACCAGATCTGTTCAATTTTGTTGGACAAAGAATAGCTGGCTTTGAGGGTCAGGGAAAGCAACAGAACTGAGACTTTAGCTTTCTAAAATTGTTTTATCGGGTCCTTAGGAGAAACTCAAAAAGGACACCACGATACTAGGTGAACCAGAAATCATAGTTACTATCTCCTGCTTCTTCCACATATTCAATAAACATCATGGCTCCCTTTTCTCAGGAACTTGAATTGATTATAAAATAATCACTAAATCTTCAGGATTCAATACTTCTTTGTCCATTTCCCTGAGCAATAGCAAACCAGCAATGGGATATCAATAGTAGTATTTTTTATCTTCATTGTTCAATGATCACTATGAATCAATAGTCTGGTTACACCACCTTGTAGGTATTAATTACACAGAGCCAGCCTAAATTCCTCTTTGGTTATAAGAGCCTGGAAAGACAGACGCAAGTGAATAGCCTGTTGCCAATGGTGAATCTCCAATTTTCAAGTAAAAAATTCTACCTTTTTACAGACACCCATTAACCACAGACACTCTTTACAATTCATAATGCTTTATTTTTCCTTGGAAAAACTTTCAATAATAGATGTACTGACTTTTTTTAGCTGAGGAAACAGAGACTCAGTGAGGTTGCATGGTAAAGGGTGACTCCTGAACTCAAAATCTTGGTCTATTTGACTCCACTACAAACCCTTACCCCCCAGTCTCTGTGACTGAACTATTAGTGGTCCACAGTGTCTCCCCAAGCAGTGTATGACTGAGGCCCTAGCAGTATTAAGGGTCATTAAATCATTAATACTTAGAAGTAAGTTCACATGAAATAATACTAGACTTTCAATAACTCGTTGTTTATATAATTAGGTACTTTAAATGCTGGTGCTTTTCTTGATAGTGGATTATTATGAGTTTCTCATTAGAAATACTGCTTTTCCATGCTACTAATTCTGATAGGTACCATTTTTCAGGAACTAGGAGACACAATGTAGCAATGCAAATGGTCCTAAGCACCCTTTGCCATACAAAACTAACACAAACACTAAGTCCATTTTATGTTCACACCATTGCCTAGGTATATCAGTGTGAATCGTTCCTAAAGGCAGAAAGTACCACTCAAACACCAAGAAGTACAGAGCAAGGTGTTCTACTCCTCCTTTCTGTGTGGATCTTCTCTTGGAGGTTGAACAAGTTCCTCAGTACCTCTGAACCTTTGTTTCATCTTCCACCAAAGAGAAATCTATCAAGGTATCTGATTGCGAGTTCTTAATGAGATGGTGCTTGTACTGGTACACAGGAAAACTGTTGGGAGGCGCTTGAAATCTACGAAATTGCTTTTGTAATGACCAGAAGGAGAGCATGCCTCCCAGTGTATCAAATTTCTATCCAATTCACAGAAAATGAAACCAACTTAAGGACTTGTTTTTAGCCTTCTTCTCAGCCCCCCTCTTTCTGACCCTTTTACCATCACTGGTGTATCACCATACTCTCCCAAAAGAGTTCAACAACCAACAAATATTTGGCCTTATTGTGTTTTTTTTTTTTAAATTCCTCCATGAAATCACCCAAACTGAAGCAAAACAATTGATTTAAACTCATGGCTACTTCACACAATTGTTCACATTAGTGACAATTTCAACATCCTCAACTGTCAAACGATATTACCAGAACTGCTAAGAAACGGCAATGTGACTTTTTAAATTTAATTGCTCGTATTCTTTTAGCCATAGACTCAGCAAGCTGGTAGAGAACAGTAGTATGAGAAGAGAAAAAGCAAATGTGGGAGTGGCTTTAGGACTCTGAACCACCAGAGGAAATTGGAGTTGAAGCATTATAGGGTTTCAATCATTTTCAACACTGCTTGGCAAGCCGAAGCTGCTTTAGTCTCCAAGCTGGTGCCACTGGCTTTTGAGCATGCATACTTGCAACAGGTGGAGCAATATTTTACCATGCTGGGACATTATGAAGGCATGTAAAGGTTCAGATCATTTGAGTTTAGATTCCCAACCCCACCCCTTACACAAAAGCCCTCTATGTTAAATCACTTTTGTCCCAAAAGGCACTATTACCAAATACTGCGTATGGAAATAGGCGTAGAGAAGGAATATGCCTCCAGAACGGCCCATGATAGGGCCTCAAAAGGAGATCTGGGAAGACCTCACAAGAGCTCTTAGCTGCACTCACCTCAGGCAGGGGCACACCATTGATGATCAGATCTGGCTGCTGGGGACCCTGGCTGTTGAAGGAGTGGTGGTAGATGTGGCTAGCAGTAGTGTTTCGGGTATTCTGGTTCTCCACATTCAGGAAAGTGCTCTCAGAGCGACGGCAGCCCAGGGGCAGTGTCTGCTGGTGGTAGTCGAAATAGTTGAGGGACGAAGTAAGGGAGGAGCAACTGACAACATTCATCTTGTCTGTTTCCTCCACATCCCGAGGTACAAGGCGGATGTCATTCTTACTAATTTTTTTCTTCTTACTTGATTTCTTTTGATGCCCATAGGAGTATTCAGCGATTCTATGTGACAGAAAAGGCAGCACGAATAGATAACACCTTCCCAGACCATATACTGATGAATAAACATTAAGCACCCCAGAGGGTTGCACCCCATCTCTGTTCCAGCTCCTTATTCTGGTGCATTACATCATCGAGTTTCTCCCTGTGCTTTTTGCATGCAAAAACAAGCTGAGGGCCATGAAGTCTTCATAGTAAATACGCTAACGTCCCACCAACCCTCCCAAAGAAATTTCCAAATTTTAGATTTGGAATTTTTTTATTGTGAGTGGGGGATATGTGGAAAGTTGAGCCTATGGGAGAGAGCATGAAAATGCTCAAATCTGATGCTTCCAAGGAACCCAGAGGCCATATTGGGTGAAGTAAAAAGTAAGTGCCAATTTAACATAAAAGGAGATAGAGGGAAGTAAGAAAAGCCCTTGCCCCTTGCCACCACCTCTAGGAATTTGCAGTGTGGCAAACATCGTGGATCAGCTTCCTCTGCGATTAAACTGATCACTTTTAGACTAGGGTAGAGGTTCAGACCCTGTCCTCCAACAGCTCCTAGCTCTGCTCATCCACACCCTCCTCCCTGCCTTAGCCCAGCTCCCTTCTACTTTCCACCCTTCCCCCTCCGCTCCTAGAGAAATCTGATAGCCAAGCCCATTTGAATGAGGGGAAAAGCCTTTTTACCTCTTTCCCCTTAGGCTCACTTTCTCCTCTGCCTTTTTGTCTTGCTGCTCGCTAATGGGAGAAACCGAGACGCAATGCAGACACTTGCTGTTTTGTCCTTTTATAAAACAGCCGAGGAGACAAGTGATGGTTAAACAATTACTGCAAAGGAATTTAAAGGTTAGTGCATTCAGCATCCTTCTCCATTCAGGTGTACCTACAAGCAGCTGTGCTGCAACTGGAACATAAAAAGCTCAATTTAATTAACACTGACACAGACCCAGGAACGTGCACCAAAGACACCAAGCATTAAGAGACTTGTCAAAAGAAACACATTAAAATTAAGTCAGAATCTCAATGTCATGTATTACTTTGCACATAATAAATTCAGCTTATTAAGAATTCAATCTCTAAGCAATAATCAGCAAAACAACAAGGTTAATAAATAATACAGGTTGGACTTTACATGAGAAAGAGTGTGTCTGTATTCTCACACAACAAAGCTAATTGTCAGAAAACAACAAAACAAAAAAGAACCCAATTCAAGCAACAATTGCAGATCATCCCACAAGTCCCATAAATGAATGCATTTCAGGAAGAGGTCCTACAGGAGCAAAGAACTAGAAACCCCTGCCTAACTACATACATAGAAAGACAGGCTCCTGAACTTTAGGATTCTAAGAAGTCTGAGCAGATGGAGAGTTTGCATATCTACTCATGTCCACCAAGGCAAATTATTGCTCTGTCCCTGCGACCTACCTAGAGCTAAGCAATTTATTTCACCTCACCCTTTTGCTCTCTGCCCAGTCTAACTTAAAATGATGGCAAATTGATGATACCGAGGCTGAGGAACAGATAAAATCCCCCAAACCTCAGGATCAGGGTTACATTTCTTTTCTAATCTGTTTACTGAATCAATGGGAAGTTCTAATCATTTTGTTTACCCATGATGGGTAAGTTTGGCAATGCCCCATCCAATTATTCAGCTGAGGCATTCATTGAACAACCCATTCTGTATTGACCAATTATTTAATTAAACTGTACTTCATTAATTGCAAGCCATAGCAGTGAAGAGTGCTTTACAAAATCCACATTTGGGTGAAGTTGGAGAGCACTGAGATTTGCACTTTTTTCCCCCAATTCAAATGCTCTCTTCCCTGTTTAATGATCTCCCTGGCAAGCTCTCAGAAAGAGCTCTTACTTCTAGTCATATATCACCAAGAAGTGGCAAACCCTTCAATATCTTTATTTCAAGCTGATTTCCTTTTCATCATGGGAAGGGTCTTGTGCATTTACTTTATGCTGAGAAAATGGCTTAAAAAGAGTCTCCTCTATCATTATCTCCATATAAATAAAATTTTATTGACCCTGCATTTTTTATCTCCTATAAAAATCACCATTGGCAGTCACAGGTTTCAAAGGTAAGAGCAATATTAATTTCCATTTCTCCCATCTGAAGTGACTTGGTACTGAAGGAAAGAAAAGTCACGGCCATTTCACCAGTAACAGGATTAAAGCATTTATGAGGCATTGCAGCTGCTCTTTTATGGCACCTGATTGATATTCATGTGTGGTTAGCATTTGTCTACTAACTTGTGTAATGCAGAGAATAGTAAAAGGGAAACAATAATTGCATGGCTGTTACATATTCAGGGAGCTCTGATTCACAGAAGTGTGTATTTCAGATGGTGTCAGATACAAATCGGACCTACAGGAACATATTTTGACTGATTAACATGCAAGCACAGATGGCACAAGATACAGGGGCTGTGGAGGTGTGCTGAAAACACACACAAGCACACACACCTTGGCTGGGAATAGCAGCACCATTCATTTTCAGCAAAGTAAAGAAAATAAAAATAACTTTTTCAACTGTTTCGATGAGACACTGCTGGAAAAAATTATATGCATTATCCTAAGTAGGATTCTAGAAATTCTTAGACTTATTTCTTCTATCAAATTGCAAGAAATCTTCAACAAGAAACTCTAATGTGTTAAACAAGACTTTTAAAAATATTACATTTCATGCCATTCAAGTTTCTACAGATCTCCTCTCTCTTCTTTTTCCTCTCCTCTAGTTTCCCCACCCCCACACACATCCTACACACACTTCAGAGAAACTGTAACATAATAGCCCATAGTGACATCCACTGGTAGCGACCAGATCTTAATACCACAGCACAGCCCCACATTAGAGAAAAACATAGCCAACTCCAGAAGACTGCTATTTTTACAGAAACATCTGGATACAGTCTTGTCTCTTATTGGGATGTTTGGTCTTCACACACCAACCAAGCAGATATTTGAAAACATACAGATGCCTGACAGAATTTCACTTTGTATAGCCAGATGTCTAGGGACTAAATACAAAACAAGCCAAGAATACTCTAAAAACCACTAATGACCTGCTTCCCCACACACTGCTTTCTCTCTTCCTCCTACTCTCTTTTTCCCATCATAAACTCTCACTCCCCAGCTCTCTCTTGAGTATAACCCCACAGCAGGACAAGGCAGTTGTCAGTACTCCATCTCCTTTCAGCTCTTTTCTACAAAACACCGTGCTCCAGGAAAACCAAGCCCTCAAATCATGATGCATAGAACTTTTGCTAAAAATATGAAAATCTGTCTCTCTTTAGCTCTTCCTCCCTCCCCTCCCTCCCTCCTCTCTCACTCTCGGATTCTCCCTCCCTCCACCTCTCTCATTTTTTTCTACCTTAACTTCATGGAAGACAGCTGTGCAAATTTTAAAATGATAATTGCTTTTCTGCTCATCATCATTATGTGACAGAATCCATTCAAACAGTAAATGATTGTCTTCCAGCAAATTGTCAGATCAAAAGAATTGATCAACGTGGACTGTCACAAACTTTTCACCCTCCACAAAGAAGCACTGCGAGTATGCTGCATGCATTTAAGCAGGAAACAAAAGCACTGGGCATTTTACACAGACACAAATACACACACCTTACTCATTCAAAACACAGAAGAAAAAAAAAAGAAAAGTTGGCTCTACCTGCAGTTGTAGGTCCGGATCTCTTTGTTTTCACGCTTGCACTTGATTGCCACGAATATCATAGTGACAAAGAGGATGCCAGCAATGGAGCCCAGAGCAATAATGAAAATCAGGGATAAGTTCACAGGGCCCATTGACTCTTGGGCATCAAGAGCCGGGGACAGGTAGATTAGGATAAGGGCAGAGGCAGAAAGAGACGTTTTGCCATGGTCACGGGCCACCACTATCAGCTCATAGGAAGCCTTGGAGTTTTCATTAAAGGTGCGAGTGGTTCTGACTTCTCCATTGTCCGGGTCTATTTCGAAGAAACCGCGGTCACCTTCTGTCATGTCATAGGTGACTCGGCCATTTTCACCCTCATCATAATCTTCTGCCTTAACCATAGTCACCAAGTAGCCTATGCCGGCGTTTCGAGGAATATAGATCTCAGCAGTGCCGTTGATCAGGGGTGGGGAGGTGATTACTGGGGTATTGTCATTGACGTCGAGGATGATGACCCTCACTGTGGCGTTGCTCTGCAGCGAGGGCAAGCCGCCATCCTTGGCCACCACCTTGAATTCGAATGCCTTGGTCTGTTCATGGTTGAAGGATCGTAGCGCATAGATATCACCAGAGTTGGGATTGATGGAGACATAGGTGAAGACGGGCATGTCTCGCACCTGTGATGGCACAATTTGGTAGGAGACACTGCCATTGAGACCCACATCGGGGTCGCGGGCAGAGACAGAGAGCAGATAGGCGCCAGGAGTGTTGTTCTCCTGTACAATGACTTGATAGTAAGGCTTGGAGAAGTGTGGGTGGTTGTCATTCTCATCAGTGATGCGCACAGTAAAGGACTTGGCACTTTGCAGCGTGGGCACGCCGCTGTCTCGAGCCTGAATTGTAAGATTGTACTGGTCGTGCTGCTCGCGATCCAGCCGTCCATCAACAAGGATAGTGGAGAAGCTTTCATACTCCTGCAGACGAAAGGGTACATTGCCCAGCAAGCGGCACTGCACACGTCCATTGAGACCTGAGTCGCGATCAGACACCCGAACCAGGGCAATCACGTAGCCCGGGGGGGCGCTCTCGCTCACCTCCACAAGCTCGCTATTGACTGACAGTAGGTTGATAATTGGCGGGTTATCGTTAGTGTCCAGGATGCTGACGGTGACTTTGCAATGTGCGGGGATAGAGTTGGGCCCCAGGTCCTTGGCTTGCACATCTAGCTCGTACACGTGGCCCTCTTCATAGTCTAGCGCTCCGGTGACAGTGACTAGGCCGCTGTGTGGGTCAATTTGGAAAAGTTCGCGTGTGTGGTCATTGGCATAGCCGTAGAAGGAGTAGATCACCTGGCCATTGGTGCCCTCATCTGGATCGCTGGCATTTAGGCGGATGACCGGTGTATTGGGAGGTGAGTTTTCAGGCACACTCACTGAGTAGGAGGACTCTCCAAACACTGGGTTGTTGTCATTAGAGTCAGTCACCTTGATGCTGAGGCCAGCTGTGCCCATGTGGGGTGGGTCGCCTCCGTCGAATGCCGTGATGCGAAAGTTGTAATGTGACTGTGTCTCACGGTCCAGGTTCTTCTCCACCACGAGCTCAGCAAAGCGCGAACCGTCACCCCGCGTCTTTATCTCCAGGCCAAAGAGCTCGTTGGGAGTGAGCTCATAGGTCTGCACACCAAAGCTGCCCGAGTCCGGATCATAAGCGCTGTCCAGTGGGATGCGCGTGCCGGGACTGGCTGCCTCAGAGATCTCCAGATCAATCTGTGCGGTCGGGAAACTTGGAGCATTGTCGTTCAGGTCCTTGATCTCCACCTTAATCACACAGATCTCCATTGAGCTGGACATGACCTCTAGCGAGATAATGCACTTGGGGTTCTGACGGCACAGCAGGTCTCGGTCGATTTTCTGCTTGGTGACCAACAGACCTGAGCTGGGGTTAATGTCCACCAGGTGCGGAGCTGAGTTGGACACCACACGGAACGTAGAAGCTTGCCGCGGATCCATCGCGAAGCCTGCCTCCCGCGCGTCCTTGGCCACGTTAGCGATCACCGTCCCGGCGCGCTGCTCTTCTTCTATTGAGTATTTAAGGTTAATCAGGGCGGCCGCCTGGGTCCACAGGACTGCCAGCAGCAGTAGCATCGGCAGGAAGAGGGACTCCATGGCTGCGCGGGGCTCTGCCCGGCCTCGCCTCTCCACACCCCTCCGAGGCCGTCGCCGCCGGCGCTCCAGCTTCCCGCCGGCTCGGGCCGCCTGTTGCGCGCGCCCCGTGGCCCCGGAGGCCGCGGGAGGAGTCCCGCCCAGGGCAGCCCGGCGGCGTGCAGGATGAACCCGTGCGGGCTCCAATGCTGAGGTCGTAGTGGACTCGGCAGCGGCTTTCTGGGGGCCCGGGGGCTCCGAGGGGCCAAGAGAGCGCCGCACGGCCCCGAGCCCCCTCCCTCCAGCCCGGCTACTCAGTTTTCCCCCTTCAAAGTTAGCCGAACGCGACTGGCCGCAGCGGCGCAGGGCTGCGGGTCGAGTGGCGCTTGCACGCCCCAGACGGCCACAAGCTTCAGAGTCGGGACCGTACTTGGAGCGCGGACGCCTAAGGCTGTTGGAGCACAGCCTTTCAGGCACTGCCTGACCAGCCCTTGCGCACCAGCACTGGGGCAGGCGAGCGCGTAGTCTATGCACCTGGCATGCGCAAGGACCTCCCCCCAGCGCACCCAGCTCACTGCGGAGGGAGCTCCCGCCCGGTACGCGCCCTCCGGACTCCGGGGGGGGGGGCACTCTGGCCTCTTCCAGGCCTGTTGGAAAGAAAAGGGGGGGAGGATCGTAGGTAGAAGTCTGAGTTGCTGGCAAGCTCCTTGGGCGCCTGGGGATTTGCCTGAGCTGGAGGGCTGTCCCGGGGCGGGCAGAGGAAGGGGGAAGGGAGAGATGCGAGAGAGTGCTCTCTCTAGCGCCGAGGTTGGCGTCCGAGGGCGTGGGGGGCGCGTCTGCCCAGGATCCGAGGTGGCCACAGGGCTCCTCCCACAGAGCGGTTGATGGGCTATGGGCGTTTATATCTCGGAAATCAAAGTTACCAACGCAGCCCAGGCCTCCGCCTCAAGTTTATGAAAATGGGAAGATGGCAATTTGTCCAAGAAAATCAAAGTCCTGCTCTTTCCAATTGCCCTGGGGGGAGGGTACGGGGAATGGGAAGGTGAGGAAGAGAAGCTACTACAGTACCGGCTAGAAGAGGCGGGGCTGCAGCTGCGGGCACCCGGGGCTTCTTCGCCTCTCCAGGTTTGGGTTGGGGTGTCGCTCCAAGGACCGCCGCCGCCGCCTCCGCTGCTGCTGCTGCTGCTGCTGCCGCCGCCGCCAAAGGAAGCCCTCCTTAGTTCAGTTGCATGTCGCTGGGGTCCGCCTCTGCAGCTGCCAGGGTCGACGGTTTCTGACGCCTCCAAACTTTACTTGCGGGAGCGTCTGGATCCCATCCTCCAGGAGAAGCACTGTCCGTCTGTCCGCCCCGCTTAGGGCTTCCGCCCTCCCCGGCGCTCGCGTGCTAGGGAGGTCTGTCTATCTGAGCTGGGGTGTGCGTGGATGTGCCAAAAGAAGGAAGAGTGAGTGTGTGGATGGGAAGTGTGAGTGTGGAGTAGGAGAGAGCAGGAAGAAATGGGATTGGGGTGGGAGGTTGGATCTCAGATGAATCGGCTCAGCTGGAATGCCGCCGGAGAGGACAGCGCACCGCCGGCCGGCGAGGGGCTAGGGAAGTGGATGCCAGTGTCCCCCGGGCAAGCCAGGCATGGTGAACTGTAGCTGGTGCTGCCGTCTGCGCCGGCTCGTCCGTCTCCCCTCTGAGCCAGTCGCCGCCGCTACTGCTGCTGTTGCTGCTCCTCCTCCTGCTGCCGCAAACTACTGGCCGCGGAGTCTGGAGAGAGCTAGAGAGAGCCGGAGCTGCCGAACCCGGCTACGCCAGGCACTAGCCAATCAGCGCGCAGCTCAGCGGGCTCCGGTCTTGGGGCGGGACCAAGACGTGGGGAAGGGTGGAGGAGCGGGGGAGGGGAGGCGGGGCCAAGCGGAAACTTACACACCGGCCCAACCGAGTAGAGTACCCTGCCCCGCAGGGCCCTTGCGGGAGTCGGGGGAGGCCTGACTGGCGCGGGACAAGTGGAGTTAGGAAGGGAGGGTGGACCGGACTTGAGGTGTGCTCCCATTGAAGCTGAGTCCACCTAAGTACTGAGCGCCTCTAGCATCTCTTGTTTGCAGATTACAGGGGAAAAAAATGAGGATTTGATTTTCTTGCTGTTTATCTCCCTCATGTATCTTCATATCTTAAATGCAGCATTCTCTTCCCCCTGTCTCTCTTTCTCTCTCCTTTGTCTCACCGTTCTGCATTTCTGTTTCTGTTTTCTCTTATTCTCGGGTAGTGGGGGGGGGAGTGCAAGCGCCCCCGCGATGGTCATTCATCAAGCTCTTGGCCAGTGTGTCTTCACTTTTGCCAAGAGCAAGGCCGCCATCCACCCAAACCATTATCCCTCACTGGGAAGATGCCGCACTCCCCAGAACAACTCAACACACACAAACACACAAACACACACACGGGGGGGGGGGACGGAGAGGGGGGAGATGTTGGTCCGGTCCGGCTCACTCAGGTCTCTACTTAATCAAATGGGATCGGTGACTCAAAAAATGAGTCTCCGAGGTTTCAGAGTACATTTTCTCGCCCCTCACCCAACCCTATCGGATAATTTAGCTCTCTATAAATAAACTACGTTTGAGAAATCTAGCGGAGCGGACGCCGCCGCGCCGCTCCGCACCGCGCCAGTAGAGCCTGGATCCGGATAGAAGCTGTGCAGTGGGCGCGCCAGCCGAGGTCCCTGGCAACTGTGAGCCCGCCCTGGTGCAGTGGGCGCTCAGCCTTCCCCTGGGGCCTGGTCTCTTTGGGGCGGGGGGGGGGGGGGCTACCAGTTCCCTTGGGCAGCAATGGCAGCTGTGGCGTCTGCCAATGCTGGGAAACGGGAGGCCGGCGTGGACAGGGTTGACATCAAGCTTAGGCTGCTTCTGAACCAAAGGCACACTAGAGACAGAGGGGGACTCCTCCCTGCCCAAATCTAAGGCTCTTAATTAAGATTGCGAGCTGTGAGTGGGGAAAAAGGCGCCCTCGATGAACATTCTGTTTCATCGAATGAAGAAATTCCTGTTTCTTTAGAATTTACAGATTGAGGATGGGAAGAGCCTCTGAATTCACAGTTCTGGAAGAGCAAACCTTCTGAGTTGGTAGTTTCTATTATTTGAGCGTCTCAGTTGAACAAACTCATAATTAGCGCAGCGACTTTGGCCCGAACCTGAGGGCTCAAAATGAGACTTGCTTTTGCCGTTTAAAAAACATTAAACAAGAATAGGAAAAAACACGTTTGGACACATAATGGATTTTTTTTTTCAGAACTGCCATCTTCTTTCTGAGAGCAACCCAGCTGCTTAAAAGAATATATCATCCAAAAGGAGCTAGTTTAGCAGCCTTTACTTTGTCGTGGAGTGGGGGAGGAAAGATTCCTTCCACAAAAGGGAATTATTTTGTCATTGAGGTTGAGATCGGACCCTCTGAAAGTGTAGCCAAGGCCAAGGGAAAAGCGCCGGACCGCTTGCCTCATGGGGATTGCTTCACATTAGAATGTAATTCAGCCCCGAACATCAGAGAGAAAAACCGAGGTATCTGCAGTGAGAACCATTTCATTTTGATCATTTAGAACTGCGGGTAGACGGCAGAGACGGTGACTTCAGGGAGTCCCGTCGCCCGCCTGGTTTTCTGCAGACACCGTTAGAGAAATGGGCAAATAGCGGAAGAGAATGACAACATGGCAGGCAGCGCGGGCTCATCTCGTGGGCTGCTAAAGGAAGGTTTCCATTTGATTTATCACAGTTATTTACCTTTGATGTCAGCGAGTGGGAATGAAGTGCAGCTTGGTCTAATTAAAAAGGTCTAAAAAGGCATTTGAAATGGGTTTGCTGTCTGATCACGGGATGTGAGTTCCGTGTTTGGCAGCTTTCTAAAATATTGCTGGAACTATTTAAACAGAACAATTAGCAGCATGCTAAAATGTTTGCATGCTATGCTTAGAAGCTCTTAGCTGTAAACTTTAAGGCGATCTGTTCCCCTTTAAGTTAAAAAAGGATGATGCTGCTTCCTTGTGGCAAAGGCTGTCAGGAACCCGCTGATCAATAAAAGTAAACTGGCGCCTCCACGGCTTGATTGAGCGGGAGCAAAGAGTCTGAGAAGTAGTCTCGGCCATTAACAATCCCCCAGGTAATGAGAAATGGAAGAATTACTCAGGTAAAATGATTAACATTGCCGTGGTATCCGAAAAGATGCACACAACAAGCTAAGAAGACTGCGGACCTTCTTACCTTAGGGAGTGCTAATAGAATGTCTATATGCTGCTGTCTTTTTAAAGATAAATAGGAGAATTCAATTCATGTAGAATGTCATTACCTTTGTAATTGCAATCACATTGGAAAGACATGTTCTGCCTTTGCAAAGACAAACCCCTTCACTAACGCAATGGCACCATTTCCCCGGCTTCCTGCTCGCTGCTCACATTCCAGGCACCCCTCTTATTCCAAGCAGAGCACCAAAGTACTTTCAGTTACCAAACTGCTTTTACAGAAGACCAAATGCTGAGAGAGGCAGGGGGCGTACGGATCTGCTTCCCTTCTTTCCCAGCACCTCCTCCACCCTCAAGCTCACAGTGATAGTTACAACCCCCCCCCGCACACAATAGTTCTTCCATCCCCCACTCTGTCTATAGATAATCCGAACACCCTTTGCTTTCTGACTCGTTTTTTTTCCCTAATATATACTCGAGATTATTGCATTCCAACAAAGCTATTAACTAAACGAGGGGCCCCAAACCACCTTCATTATCAGGAATTTATTAGCTAGCTGAATAAAAGCATTTGCATGTAGATAATAAAAACAAAAAGAAAGTTCTGTTCATTTTAGCTTCCGTTTACTTCAATCCTGGAGGGAGCCCCGCCTCCTCGAGCTCTTTAGAGACACAAGAGGGCCATCTAGTGACTATCTCTGGTATTTTTTTCATCTAACTGCTGTCGAGAAACCACCGGAGGCTCTGGGTTTTGCACAATGGGCCTCAGCTTTCTAGGCCAAGTCAGTTCCTTAGGCTACTGAGGCCAGAATCAAAATTGGTGAAGAGATTGTGGTTTTGTCCTTAGAATCTTATGCATGCCACAAAAATTGTCGAAAATTGCAATAGAAAAAACAAAAATGGGGAGATCTTTACCTTTAAATCAAACAGATGTGTGAGTGTAAGCTTTGCTGCCCCAAGACTCAGAAGGGTAAGTTTGATTCAGAAGTGTTTAAATTAATAGTAGGAACTAAGATACCACGATATGAGGTACTGTATACATAGAGCTTTCTGAGATATGTTTACAAAAGTATTTGTTTCACTTGCCAAAAAAAAAAAAAATAGCATTCAAAGGACTCCAGACTCCAGTTTCCCTTGCCATCCACCTCTTCCTTCTTTTTATTTCTGACCTTGCTGCAGGAAACTGGATGTCTTCTGGCTTGATTTTTTTGTTGTTGTTTCATCCCATAAGCATCCCATTCCCCAAATAATTTGACCGACTGCCTGGAACGTTCTCTTAGAACAAAACGAGGGAGGGGGCTCAGCTGTAAAGCTAGCCAGAAAGTCAATCTCACTTTTCCTGACTGCATATCTTCTCTCCTGGCTTAAGACTCACTGTCTAGAATTAAAGAACGAAAGGGGAGGAAGTGGGAAGAAGCTGGAAAGTGTCCTTACTCAAATTATTATTATCTTTATAGCAACCCTGGGATGGTTAAACTCTTTGCAGATGTGGAAGCAGAGTTGTGGAGGGTCCGGTCATTTGCCAAGATGGCCACATTACACAAAACTCAACCACTTTCCTTGTGAAATCAACAAGTGTTGGCTGGGTGCCCAGCATTGTGTTAGGGACCACAGGGTTTTCTAAAGATGGACCATGTCCCTGTGAAGATTAAAATTCAGTTCATTACTTGAATAATAGCATGTAGTTCTATGCACTATAAATATTCCTTGAGAAAAAAACTAAACTGGGGTTTATTATGTTGAAAGTTTCCTGAAATTCTAATCCCTTCTACCCCAAATGATTGCCCAACTTGTAGTCACTTCCCCTCCTCCTTCCTCACTGAACTAGGCAGTTGAAGCAAAGGCAACAAGAGCCACAATCAGGGATGTGGGCCTGTGGAGCAGGAATGAGGTGGAGTTTCCACTATGATGCATGCTGCTTCTGACCGTTTTTTGGAACACCAGGAAAACTAGAGGCGGCGGGTGGGGGAGGGGACAAGAGAAGATGTTGTGGTTCCTTGTACTTTTTCTTTTCTCTTCTTGCCAAGCCCCACCCAAGCCTTGCCCTGTGACAAACGGAAGCGGTGACAGCAGCAGTTGAGGAAGGCAGCAGGCACATAAACAAAATACAGAAAGTGTTCTTAAGTGCTAAAATGCCTCACTGTGGTCCTGATGCCTGCCTTTTCCAAGAAACGCAGAAAAGGTCACGGACAGTGGAGACTAAAAGGCTATTAATCACTCTGAGTCTTCCCATTTTGACAAGGCCAGCATCCTCGGAGAAGCTGAGTCAACCCTGACCTCAAGCCTTATGCCCTTTCTCTTTAGGAATTCTGTTTCCCACAGGACCAAACCCCTGCTGCTTCCAGACTCATAACTGTCCCTAAATAAACACACATCACGGGGACCATTTAATTAGCAAAGACTAAATCAGCAGATACATTTCAATAAATGACACTACTCTCTAACACCTTCTGCACTACCCTGCAGTGATCACCTGTGAAGTTCTGACAGCACCATTTGGGCTCTCAGCATT